CCACCGTTTTAATGAGAAATAAATATCCAGGATTCTTGTGTCGCCATATGATCAGTAAAATGGCATACGTTCAGAGTGGGTGGGTGAAGGCAATAATCTTCGAATGAAATTTTAAGAGCTAAGAAAAATATAACACGGCTTTCTATATTTAAAATTACCTAATAAACCTGTTTACTAGAAAATTAGTATAGTGTACCGAATAGATCAGTTTTTTAAATTTCTTGTTTCATAACAAGTCCTAATACTGCAATTTTCAAATAGTTAACTAAGGTAAACTGGTATAATACGACGATTGCTACTGCTTTGTTACTTTGTTCAACCTAGCTGATAATTTAAAACTGTGTATACTAGTATCGAAATTGTTCTAGACACACGACCAAAAGTGGACAAAATAAGCTTTTTACCTTTTATAAACTAAAGCAGTGGTTCTTAACCTTTTTGGAGGTAACAAACCCCTTCAGTTTCAAATACGCATTCACCGTACTTTTCTTAATAGTTCTATGGTCCAAATTGACAAAATCCAATCGTAAATCATATGAGTCGGGCGTGTGTCTTGACATCCGAACAGAGGCGTAGCGACCCTTCCCGGCGCCCGGGGACAAACCTTTCGATTTGCACCTTCCCCCCTCAAGATTTCGATTTGCACCCCCCCCCATCAAGATTTCGATTTGCACTCCCTCCCTCAAACTTTCGATTTTTTTCCAACCCATTTTGGCGCCCGGGGATATATGTTCCCCCCCCCCCCCCGCCCCCACTCGCTGCGCTACTGCATCCGCCGAAGCCCTGAGACGCACTCACTAAACCTCTGGGGTTCGATCGAACCCAGGTTAAGAACCACTGTTCTCTCTCTCTCTCTCTCTCTCTCTGTATATATATATATATATATATATATATATATATATATATATATATATATATATATATATATATATATATGGGGGCGCGCCAAATTTTAAGTTCACTCTTGGCGCCGGGAGGGGTTGCTACGCCTCTGTAGCTAACAACCACAGCTAAGTGAAAGACACAGTTCACATTAGCTTAACTAATTAACTAAAACTCGTCTTGTACTTGGTCCCCATGAATGCCATTTCACAACAGTTCTAGATTTTAAATATTAAATTAAAATCGTAGAAACAATTACAGTCCGAATATAAACAATAACAAACACTGTCCTTGAATCATGTTAAGAGTCATCAACATTATCTTCATTACACAGTCCTCAGCATGTCTCCGGTGAATCTATCTAGAAATCACCAAGTCCAGTGTAATTAAATCGAATACTGTTTATTGGCACTCCCATTTCTGGACTACACACGATACACATCTGTTTACAGAGTTTGAAATATACATTGTAACATCACCTTCCGCGCAGACTCGAGTCACTACTCGATTTCTTGAGGTGCAATGAAACTGTGTCCGATGCACCCATGACTTCATATCCCAGCGCCAAATGTGACCAAGTGATGAGATTATTTTCTTCTTTTTGTTGTTTGTGTGTATGTCTCGTTTCCATTCTGCCGACAACGCCAAATGTGATAGATGAGTGACGTTCTTTGTGCAACTAATTTTCGCAGCTCCCAAATGTGACAGAGGCGTGTGACCACCTGTCTGTATGTATTCACCCACGGCTTAGGAAACCCGCTTCTAGGCCGTGGACACCTCATTCGGCACCGACATATCCAACTCATATATACGATGCATTTAAATATATGGCTCCAAAGTCTAACAGAGCATTGAATGATTGCGCATTATAAATCCACGTACAATTGCAGGCAATAAGATAAGACGACCAGTTGTTCAGGGCGCCGGCGGATGCAACTGATATGATTTAGTGAACGGCTATATTTGCAATTCGTATTCATAGTGTATTGCACTATTTAAAAGGAACGTATGCATCATATTGCTTATGGCGTATGCATCGTATTGCTTATGAGTGCTTATGGCACCCTGTCGGGGCAACGCCCCTTTGAATTTTGTTTTGTAGAAACTTTCCTAGGAATATTCTCAGCAACTCCTTAGTTTCATGATGGTCGGATGAAAAGTTTAGTAATACATAAAATGCAGTCAAACAAACAGCAAGCGTCTATTATTTATGTTACCAAATACCAAGTAATAACTTCGTAACAAGTGAAGTTGACAAAATGTCATAAATAAGTATTGAATCCTGTTTGTAGCTGGATCAACTTTTAACCGCTTTTCGGAAAATAGAAGTGGTACATTTTACATTCTCGCGTACATAGTATTGTAATTATGTAGAAAAGTTAAATGAAATTTTGACAGTTTTTGCGGTTTTACACCTTCTATCTGTAATGTGAAAAAAAATCTAAATTCTCTTTTTTTGGACAAATGTTGATGTTTTACAACCTTCCAGAGCTGAAAAAAAAGTTTTGCAATCCTATTCGTCTTTCTTTCTCTCCTCACTCTGTCTGTCTGTCTCTGTCTGTCTCTGTCTGTCTCTGTCTCTCTGTCTCTGTCTCTGTCTCTGTCTCTCTCTCTCTCTCTCTCTCTCTCTCTCTCTCTCTATATATATATATATATATATATATATATATATATATATATATATATATATATATATATATATATATATATATCTTTGTGTTTTAGTGTGTGTGTTAGTCATGTTGACCTAATCTCATACATAACTACTGTATAAATTGTGTTGTTTTCTATTAACGTTTGAGCGATTTCCATCATTTGGAAGTGGTATGTACACTATTTTTTGGTCTCTTAAAAAGCGTTAACTTGAATACCAAAAATGTAAGGTAAATAAAATTTCACACACAAGTATTAAATTATATGCGCGGGTTCCTTTCAACTTTTGAACAATTTCCGGTAATCGGAAGTGCTACTTTACTCTATTTTCTAGGGCACACAAAAAACGTGAGAACTATTTCAGATATGTAAACGAAATTTCATATATGTATTAAGATATTATAATTGGATCATTTTCAACTCTATTTCTGGTTTGTAAAAAACCAAAAACCTAATAACTTTCTTACTATTTATTTTAGCTAAGCGGAATGCTATACATTGTTATATGATCTTATATATGTTTTCTATCATATTTTGAATGATTTTTGGTGACCAACAATAGCACTTTACACTATTTCCAATTCTTAAAAAGATAATCAATGTTTCCTTTAGATAGTAATTATTTTCTGCTCTATCATACTCACCATGTTTGCGTTCATTTGGCGCGCATTTTTATTTTCTGGACGATTCAGTTCTGTTTAAAAATTAAAGTATCAATAAATAAATAATAAACATTTCTATAGCCCTTGAGGTGCCATTCCACTACTGTTATATATTACAACTAGCCGTCCCGGCCAGGTCCTGCACTGTCCTCTGAAAAAAAAAAACTATCTGTAAAGGATCGTGATTTGTGTGTTTATTAAGTCAGAGGTTTGGAAAAATAAATTGAAACGTTGAGGGGAGGGGAGGTGCAAATCGAAAGTTTGTCCCCGGGCGCCGGGAAGGGTCGCTACGCCTCTGTATTAAGTAGCATATACCCGGCATGGACGTTTGATAAGCGAACTCATAAATCTTACTCTAACTTTAAACTTAACACTAACCGCAATCAACCAAAACCAAAACACAAACTAAAAAACAACAAAAACAAACACAAAAGCAAACATAAACGCAAACGCAAAGAAATCACCCAAAAAAACAACAAATACAAATGCAAACACATAAGCAAATGCAAACGCAAACTTAAGCAAAAACACAAATACAAATATAAACACAAACACAAACCTAAATGCAAACAACTACTCAGAAAATAATGCAATATTAAACGCGAACATAAACACAAACTTTAACGCAAACATAAATGCATAGTGCTCAAATCGCACCCTGCCGGGGCGCCATTGGAATCACCTAATTCAACTTAGTAAACGACTATATTACCCCATCTTATCCATAGCCTATCGCATTGTTCAAAATATTGTTTAAATAGTCCCCTGCCGGATGGACGAAGGATGCCCTGAATTTGATTTAGTAAAGGACTATCCTAACCGTTCTTATCCATAGTCTATCGGACTGTTGAAAACGAACGTAGGCGTCATAGCGCTCACGGGAAGGCCCGGGGCGCCAAATAGCACCCTGCCGGGGCAACGGCTGACGCACCTGATTAAATTTAGTGAACGACTAAAATACTTCCACTTATCCTCAAATGGAAAGATAAAAGTTAACATAGAGAACAGTGGCGTAGCAAGGTCGGGTGTCATCCGGTGCGGCACTTAATGGTGTCACCCCCCAGAGGCGTAGCTACCCTTCCAGGGGACATCTTTCAATTTTCGATTTGCACCCCCCCCCCCTCAAACTTCCGATTTGAACCCTCTCTCAAACTTCCGATTTGCACCCTCCCTCAAACTTTCGATTTGCACCCCCACCCTCAAATTTTTCTCTATATATTTTGCTATTTTTTGCCTTGGTGTCACCCTCCAAAATGGTGTCACCCGGTGCGGTCACCTTTACTAATGTTTAGGAAGAGACCCACGCTTTTCTTTATAGTTATTTAAATAGTAGTCTATAATTTATTTTCTACTTTCTAGTGCTTTAGTACATAAAAGCTTGTTATTAAAACGTTTTTTATGATTTTTTCATGACTAAAAACCAATTCGCGCCTATTGAACGTGATGATGCGCTATTGAACGTGATGAGTGGTTGGATAGAAATGCCTACTAATTTGGTCAAAATTTTAATTAAGTCATCAAAAAATAATTAGGCATACAATTAAGTCAAATTTAATTTCTTGTCCCACGTGCCAACTGTGAACCGAATCTGTCAGTTAGAAGTGTCCGAATTTTCGCTCGAGCGTTTCGATCTAGACAGACTGACGACTGACGACAGACAGAGAAAGTGAGTTAAATAAAAGCTTGTAAAAAGCCCATAAATTGAATAGGCATTCCATTTATTTAGTTTTATATTTATTTAGTGCTTGTTATATTATTTTGTATATGTTTAATTTTAAATCGTATATGCATGTTTCTTTTTAGTCCAACATTAATAGCCCGCGTTGCCGCAGCCACTGGACAAGAAGTAAGAGGAAAGCACAACGACTTTGTCAGACTTGGAATTTTTACCACACACACTGGCGCCAGTTGTTTTAGTCCTGTTATAAACATTGTTAGAGATTCGCGCTGGGGAAGAATTCAAGTAGGTCCGCCGCCCCCCCCCCCCTCCTCCACCCTTATTACTATCACCGCCTCGTTACCCCTCAGCCTTATATTTACTTTTTAATTTATTGCGCCATTGACTTATCTTAATGCAGTAATTTAAAAACGTGTATTAACGCCTATCTAGGAAACATATGGAGAAGATCCCTTCATGAGTGGAGTTCTTGCACAAAATTTTGTAACTGGATTGCAAGGTAGGCGCACTTGTTATTATGTTGATACATAGGCTAGCTGAACGTAACAAAAAAAAAAACTTTCACTAGTTGTTGTTTTCCAAATTTATATTAAGATCTGAGTATTATTGAATTGTGTCACATGACACTATTTTGTTTAAATGATTCCTTTTTGGTTTTGATACAAAATGGTGTAAAAATCGACAAAAAACTGCAAAAGAAAGTTTCAAAAGTCTGGTTTTGGGGAAGCAATAAAATATACCATGGTGGATAGAATATATTATAGCATATACGTACCGCGCGTTGCCGCGGGGATAGAAGAAAGTCTGACGGAATATACTAAGAAAGTTTCTTCAATGCTTTACCAATCCTATATTCTTAGACGCGTGACCTTGTTTTCTTAAACTGGGTTATTTAAATGCAAACAATGTCTGCGCTTGGATCATATTTATCGGGGCACGGGTTTACCTACACTACCGTCCAAATCGCACCCTGCCGGGGCGCCGGCGGACGCGTCTGATTATGTTTAGTGAACGTCTCTAAAACACAATCTTGCGCTAAGTCTTTCGCAATATTAAAAACGGACGTAGGTGCCATAACGCTCACGGGGGGGGGGGGGGGGCGTACTTGCCTGACTCAATTTTTTGAACCACTATAATGCCCCGTTTTATCCATAGTTTATCTCACTGTTTAAAACGAACATAGCCGCCATAGCGCTCACGGGAAAGACATGGGCGCTAAATTGCACCCGTGCGAAATTGAATTGTTTCTTCTTAGAAACCTTCTCGGTAGTATTCTCATCAACTCCTCACATTTTCATGGCACTCGGATGAACGACGTCGAACAGCATCCGACTTTTATTATTTTTATATACCATGTATAAAAAGCACCCTCCTGGTGCGCCGCCCTTGCAAAATAAAAATAAAAATATTTTTTTAACAGAAACCTGGAGTGTTTCAATCAACTCCCCAAAGTTTGATGGCGATCGGATGAACGGTGTCAAACCGCATAGATAAAACGAATTTTTTTTTCCATAAAAAACGTTTTAATAACAAGCTTTTATATAATAATGCACTAAAAAGTAGAAAATAAATTATACACTACTACTTAAATAACTATAAAGAAAAGCGTGGGACACTTTAGTATCTATTGGATACCTTTACTTTACTTTCGATTTGCAACCCCACCCTCAAATTTTTCTCTATATATTTTGCTATTTTTTGCCTTGGTGTCACCCTCCTAAATGGTGTCACCCGGTGCGGTCATCTTTACTAATGTTTAGGAAGAGACCCACGCTTTTCTTTATAGTTATTTAAATAGTAGTCTATAATTTATTTTCTACTTTTTAGTGCATTATTACATAAAAGCTTGTTTTTAAAACGTTTTTTTTTTATGAACAATTTTTTTAGTACTTTACATGTTTTATTTACACTAGAGTTGCATGATTAAAAACGATGCGCACCTAATGAACGCGATGACGCGTGTCTAATAGTGATTAATAGTTTGATGAAACAGCCTATTAATTTGGACACAATTTTAATTAATTCATAAAAAATTAATCAGGCAACCAATTAAGTCAACATTAATGTCATTGTTGCATTGTCTTCATGTCTTGACTCTAGTGGCAACGTTGAAACAAATCTGTTAGAAGTGTCCGAAATTTCGCTCGGGCGTTTCGATCTTGAGAGACTGACGACTGAAGACAGAGACAGTGAATTGAATAAAAGCTTGTAAAAAAGCTCTTATTATTAAATTAAAATTTCTAATCATGTGATCTTTGATTAGGATCTGATTCAAGATTTATCCAAGCTAGCGCTGGATGTAAACATTTTAATGTTCACGGAGGTCCAGAAAACATTCCAGTCTCAAGATTTTCCTTCGACGCTAAGGTAGGTGTTATGTTTGCTAAAATTACGTACATTACTCTTACTGTCGTATTGAATCGACCAAGGGCAATCATTGAAGGCTATACAGATTGGTAAGCTCATAACCTGAATCTGGTGGGGTTTTTTTTTCAAATTAATCATATAGCTTTATTAAGAGAAAAAAATAATTGGAACCAACACTTAAACATATCACTACTTACAACAACAACAAAAAAATAACAAACAAAAAAACGAATCAATAACAGTGGATTGATTTTTTAAATTTTTAAATTTTTTTTAAAAAATTTTGTTGTTGTAAGTAGTGATATGTTTAAGTGTTGGTTCCAATTATTTTATTTAAATAATAATCATTAAAAAAGTTAAAAAAAACCCACGTTTTCTGATTGAACTAAAAAGTAGAAAATAAATGCTATACATCACAATAATGCAAGCGATCACTCTACTATAAGCGATGAAAAACGTGGGGCGCCGAAGTAAAAGTTATATTACTATTGATTAGATAATACTATTGACTTTTATTAGGGAGCTTGTAGAGAGTCAACAGTATTAGAAACTGTAAGAAAATCACGGCGCCCCACGTTTTTCATCGCTTATAGTAGAGTGATCGCTTGCATTATTGTGATGTATAGCATTTATTTTCTACTTTTTAGTTCAATCAGAAAACGTGGGTTTTTAAAAACTTTTTTAATGATTATTATTTTCTACTTTTTAGTCTTTGTCTGTTTGTTTGCATTGAAAACTTGCTATCGATTTTATCTTTTCACTTTTTTTTTGGGTAAACGAAGAAAACTCGTAAAAAGACAACTCGTAAAAAACACGTTGTGTGAATACGTTACTGACTAGAACACATAGATTTGAACCCGTGTCGAGTGGGTTAGCAATCGTGTGCCCAACCACTCGACCATATCGTCTCCCCCATACTGGCCACCAGTTGTTACGTTCTGGTTGTTTGTAGACAAACACCGCGTGACAACAACTCAGTAAGAAAAAGAGGGAGAGTACCGAACCTTGTTTTCATCAAATTACAGTTACTGGGTTATGTCCCTTTTCCCCCCACGTTTTTTGTACAATTATATAGGGGTATAAAATGATCAATAAAATGTTTTCATGGATCAATTTAGTAATAATAACAGTTGAATATTCTATTGTCATCCGAAACAAAGCTTCCCTGAAAATTTCAGCGCGCTAGCTAACTGGGAAGTGCCCGAAATTTCGATCGCAAGATTTGATTGGAAAAACAAACAAACAAACAAACAGAGGCGAAAGCAAGTTAAAGAAAACGTGGGGAAAAAAACCAATCAATAACAGAATGGGATCTGCCATCCGGTGTTAGAGCCTTGTCGTGGCTTGGCAGCTCGTGTATCCTGACCACCCCCTGAGTTATACCAGCGGGAGTGTAAACTCCTAGTAGGTTCAACCAAGCTGGGAAGGTCTGCGCGGGTAGGGATCAGACCAAAGCTAACACCCTGGTCCTCCAGGTTGGGGGTTGAAACATAAGGCTAGCAACCTTATCTCATTAAAAAAATATACCGCTACAGAAACTGCAAGTACACAAATCCAACACCAACTTGGTCGAGGAGGTTCTTCTCTAGAAGAGCCCATCATGCCTACTAGTGAAAGCCTAACGGAAGCTAGTTTGCTGACAAATCTCCTAACGCCCAAGACTAAAACCAGATTAGGGACCTGGAACATCAGAACCCTATATGAAAGCAGCAGATCAGCCCAGGTCGCCAAAGAAATGAGGAGGTATAAACTAAAAGTCCTAGGATTAAGTGAGACACGATGGAATGGCAGTGGCCAAACTAGGTTGGTCTCGGGAGAGACTGTCATCTACTCAGGCCACGAGGACGAAGATCATGAACACACGCAAGGTGTAGCCATAATGATGTCTCCAGAAGTAACAGATGCTTTGATTGCATGGGAACTGAACCAGTCTCGCCACGACTCATAGGATCTCGTTCAATGCCAAGGGAAGGAAAACAACTTTAATCCAGTGCTATGGACCCACAAATGCTGCAACAGATGAAGAGAAAGAGGACTTTTACAGCGCCCTACAAGCTCAAATTGACAAATCACCAAAAAGAGATATAAAGATAGTAATGGGAGACATGAATGCCAAAGTTGGAACAGAAAATAAAGATCGTGAGCACACAATGGGGAAAAATGGAATAGGCATAATAAATGAAAACGGGGAATTCTTTGCTGATTTCTGCGCATTTAATGATCTAATTATAGAGGGGACAATTTTCTCTCATAAAGATATACATAAGACCACCTGGGCGTCACTCGATGGCAAAACAAAGAACCAAATTTATCACATCACAGTTTCCAGAAAGCGGAGAAGAAGTTTAATGGATGTTAGGGCGAAACGAGGTGCAGATATAGCCTCAGACCACCAACTCGTGGTTGCAATATTAAAATTAAAACTAAAATCTTACAGGGATCGAGCTGATAAACCGCACTTTAAATTCAATACAGCATATCTTAGGAGTCCAAAAAATAAAGGAAGACTAACTGCGCGGTAAAAAAAATAGGTATGAAGCACTCTCCAGCCTGGCAGAAGAAACAGTAGAGCAAATATGGCTAGGAATACAGGAACTATGGAAGTCAACATGTACTGACATATTGGGAAGAAGAAGAAATGAACAAAAAGAATGGATCACAGCAGAGACATGGGCCAAAATTGAAGATAGAAAAGAGATAAAGCAAAAGATGCACAAATGTAAGGATGAAAAAAAGAAAATAAACCTCAGAACACACTATTGTGAAGTAAATCGCATGGTCAGGAAAAGTGCAAAAGAAGACAAAAGACAGTTCATACAAGAGATGATAGCGGAGGAAGAAACTGCAGCACAACAAGGAAAAATGAAGAGGCTCTATGAAGTAACCAGGACCCTATCAGGCAAGAATATCAACCCCAACAAACCAGTAAAGGATATAGTAGGAAATATCTTAACAAGTGACACAGAACAGAGAGACAGATGGGTACAGCACTTTGATGAGATTTTAAACCATCCTCTCTCATCAAACATCCCTGATATACCACCTGCAAACCACCTACTAAATGTGTGTACAGATCCACCCACAAAGTTAGAAACAATAATAGCAATAAAGAACATGGCAAAGCAGCTGGCCCGGACGGCATCCCACCAGAGGCACTCAAAGCAGACCCAGCCATATCAGCAGACATACTACATCCTCTACTTAAGCAGATTTGGGAAGAAGAAATAATCCCATCTGACTGGAAACTGGGATACCTGATAAAACTGCCAAAGAAGGGAGACCTGACACAATGCAACAACTGGAGAGGGATAATGCTTCTTTCAGTCCCAAGTAAGGTGCGGACAAGAATCACCCTAGGGAGACTTAGAGATGCCTTGGACAAAAAGCTGAGACAAGAACAAGCTGGTTTTCGTCAAGACAGGTCATGTACTGACCACATTGCCACGCTGCGCATCATTATTGAACAGTCCCTTGAGTGCAATCCCCCTTATACATGACTTTTGTCGACTTTGAAAAGGCGTTTGACAGTGTGAATAGAGACGGTATCTGGAAGTTAATGAGCCACTATGGAATACCCAAAAAATTATATCTATCACACAGAAACTATATGAAGACTCCACCAGTCAGTTAATACACAAGGGAAAACTAACAAAACCATTCACGGTGACGACGGGAGTAAGACAGGGATGTATGCTATCGCCAATGATATTCTTGATGGTAATCGACTGGATCATGCTGCAAAACCAAAAAAAAAACGACACAGGAATCCAGTGGAGTTTCACCAAAGGCTGGAAGATCTTGATTTTGCCGATGACATCTGCCTACTATCTCACAAGCATCAACATACGCAAACCAAACTAAATCGGCTATCTGAAGAAGCCTACAAAGTTGGAAGGGTTCGTGAAGTTATGACTGAGAACTACTTTGCGCGTTTTGTCTTCTCTATTCTATCGCTAATCTAGTTTGTAAATGCTATTTTATGGTACTTTTCTGTTTAAGTAGTCACTCCCTAAGAAAACCCCTCGCAAGACCATTGGTGATCGCAATCAGCAGTTTAGGAACCCGTGAACTAAAAGATAAAATGGGAAACTGGCCGTAACTATACTATCGAAAATCGAGCTGAATAATTAACCCAATTTAAGGCTCACATGTACTACCATGGAATCAAAATAGAATAATATTTAACAATGTAGGGATCTGGGTCTAGTGAAAATCTAAACAACGTTTCTGCTTTTTTTATTATTATCTTCTTTGCATTGAAAGCATTGAGTGTAATCATCTTCCGGAAATTTTTTCCCGGTTGGTTGAGGTTTGTAGCGATGCATGTAAGTTTACAGGTGCTGGATGACGATCTCACAAAAGAGTCAGAATTCAAGTTTATTTATAAAAAGAAAGAAAGTCTACCGCCCCCCCGAACGAAATGGAATTTAAATAGAAGATATATACTTTTAATAGTGTCCGCCCCCCCCCCCTCGGAAATTTTAGCCCCCCCCCCCCGAAAATTTCAAGTGCCCCCCCCCCCCCCCCCCCAGAGAAAAAAGTCCGGAAGAAGCATTGCTCTCAATGGTTTGCACGACAATGCGGCAACGCCTTTAATAATATTATTAGGCATATTGGGCCCTGTTCGACCCCCCCCCCCCCACTGAATCCTATTACTTATTGTAAAGTATGAAACGACTGGGGGCCTTTTAGAACTTTTAATTATTTCTACAATAGAAAAAAAAAACTGGGTTTTCATTTTCTTCTTAAAATTACTTATATTAAACAAAAATTAAAATTACAATGTAAAAGTTTTAATTATTTTAAGAGGGAAAAGGGCCCCTAAGTGCCTTGAGCCCCTATGTCTTGCTTACGCTAGCTTTACGGTAGCTACGCCACTGGGTAGGAGAACGCATAGGGGTGTCAGAAAAAACTCGCCACATCAGGGAAAAATCTGCAAATGGGTCAAAACTGACCAGTCGTATTTCCCTATATAATCTTTGTATTTTATGAAAAAAAAAACCAGAGGGTAATTTCAACACGGATTTTATGGCACTTACCCTCTTTTTATCTGGCTATTTTTTTTTTTGCAAGCTCCTAGGTAAATGGCTTGGCCTTTTGGGAAAACTGTCGGTTTGACTCAAAGCCCTCAACGAGGGATTTAAAGATAACCGCGAGTGAAAATCTCCTTATTTGAGCCGAAGAACCCCCCTTGATATTTTGTGAGGTGGTAGGAGAACACCTAGGGATGTAACAAAAAACTCGGCATATCTAGGAAAACGTCGTAAAGGAGTCAAAACTGACCATTCGTATTTCCCTATATAATCTTTGTATTTTATGGGAAAAACAGAGGGTAAATTCACCAAAGATATTAGGACTTTTACCTTATGTACATCTGGCTAATTTTTTTTGCATGCACCTAGGTAAATGGTTTGGCCTTATGGAAAACTGTCGATTTGACTCAAAGCCCTCGACGAGGGCTAAAAGATGACCGCGAGTGAAAATCTCCTTATTTGAGCTATATTACGAAAAATCTTTTGCCGAACGACCCCCCTTGACATTTTGTAAGCCGGTAGGAGAACGCATAGGGGTGTCAGAAAAAACTCGCCACATCCGGGAAAAATCTGCAAATGGGTCAAAACTGACCAGTCGTATTTCCCTATATAATCTTTGTATTTTATGTGAAAAACAGGCTAATTTTAACACAAATTTTGGGGTACTTAACCTCGGTATATCTGGCTAATTTTTTGCATGCACCTCTATAGATTAAGCCGTATGGAAAAACTGTTGGTCAGACTCAAAGCCCTCGACGGAGCTAAAAATGATCGCGAATGAAATTCTCCTTATGTAAGTGAAATGTGAAAGTATTTTATTTTAAAATTTGTCAGCAAATATAATAAGCTGAATAAATAGGACACTCACATGGAGGGTTACAAAAAAAACTTTATTCCCGTCGAAAAAAACCTTTTACGGACGTTAGATTTGTCCAGCAGACGTATGTTCTTATTTAAACAATTGTTTGTGAAAACGTAAACAAACTCTACGTAATTTGGTTTTTGTACAGGGGAGGTAACTTATTAAAATAATATTTTTTTAATAATTGTTATACTATTTTAAAGAAAGAACAAAAATTACAACGTACAGTATTCGTTTGAATAAATATTTAGTTATTAATTAAAGTATTTATTGTAATAAAAATGGAAAAATTAATAGCGAAACTGAATTTATTATAATTTTTGTGTATATACTATTTAGGTAGCCTTTGCAGTTCTAATAACCTTGCGGGTTATAATGTTGCGAATACATAACTGTTTGCATGACAAGAAATTACTAAAATCTCTTTAATCTTAGGCCATAAGCACTATACATAACAGCCAATCACCAATTAATTAATCATTCAAATTCTCAAAATCTTTATTTTAAAACCTAAGCAAAGGTAGGCAGTATGCCTAGGTTCATATATAAGTAATAGAATGATACTTAGATTTAAAAAAAATTTTAGTGACCTATTATAACCTATTATAACCGAAAGTAGTGTTTTTCTCTGGTTTCGGTTACTAAAATACCGATTACGTAAAATCTTTTTATTTTGTATTTTCACATAATATTATCTTGTATTTTCACTTTTTGAGTGATATTTGGGGACCGGAAATTTTACTTACCGGTATTTCCGTTTTCTCAAAAAATATCACTTCTTGTTTTTAACGTTCCGTGTAGTTAAAGACTCAATGACTATATATATACATACATATATATATATATATATATATATATATATATATATATATATATATATATATATATATATATATATAATTTTTTCGGGTGGGGGGTTGGGGGGGGGGGGGTTGACACCATTAGGTGCCGCACCGGGTGACAGGGTGACACCCGACCTAGTGACGCCACTGTTCGTTAGGAAGCGTTTTATAGATCGCAGTGTTCATCTTATAGTACATTAACAAAATTGTTACCTGGTTGATTCTTCAGGTGTCCGAGGTTGATTGGAGAATGACATTTCTACCAGCGTTTAGAGCGTGTGTCAAAGCTGGTACACTTAGCTTAATGTGTAGCTACAATAGGTAAGTAGTTGCCATTAAAGTACGATTTAACAGTAATCTCTTGACAGTTTTAGTCATTGGCTAAGACAGTGGAAACTCAACCCACAATGGGCTTAATGACAAACAGGGAAACGTGACGAAGGATCAATATAACCTAAACATGTATTAAAAATTAGAATCAGTGGCCAAGGTAGACTAAGTCTAAGAAGCTAAAAATATGTTATAGAATAAATAGCAAATAACTTTATTGTATGACTAAAAAGCCTAAAAGTGGTGCACCATCATAACGTACCCGGTCAAAACTGCCCCGTCAAAACGACCCCTTCAATATGACCTCGTGAAATTGACCCCCACAAAACGACCCGTCAAAAGGGCCCCGACAAATAGGCTCCCGACAAATGAGCTCCCGACATTTAGGCTCCCGACAAAATGGACTCCCGACAAATTGACTCCTGACAAATAGGCTCAGGACATAATGGCTCCCACAACCGACTCTTTTGATGGAAGTCATAGCTAGATTAAATAATATGAAAATAAGGCCCGACAGTAGTATATTAGGTCACTTTTGGAGCGAATCCGCAGGCGCTGGGTGAGCAGGAGCAGGAGCAGGAGCAAAGGATATATAGGAAAATACTCCCCGCCTGGGTGAGCCGCAGGGACAATGACATATAGCAAAATACTCACCCACCAGGGTGAGGTGGGTGAGCCGCAGGAACAACGAGATATAGTAAAATACTCCCTGGGCGAGGTGGAGGTACATCCTCATATAGTAAAATACTCACCCAACTGGGTGAAGGTGGGTGAGCCGCAGGAACAATGAGATATAGTAAAATACTCACCCACCCTAGGGTGGGTGAGCAGGTGGGGGAGTAGGTCAGTAGGTCACCACCGATGACCTTGTGACGTAATCAGTGACCTTGTGACGTTATCACCAGCGGTGACCTTGTTACGTAATTTTAATGAGTTTTAATGAGTTTTAATGAGTTTTTAATGAGTTTAATTTTAATTAATTAGATTTTAATTAATTTTTATTAACGAGTTACGTAATTTGATTATTTGTTTGATTTTTTAATTGTTTAATTTGTTTGTTTACTTGTTGTTTAATTTAATTACTTTGTTTTTAATTAGTTTAATTATTATTTTTTAATTTAAATTTTATTTTTAAATTTTATAGTTGTTTATTTATTTTGTTTTGTAATTTTTATTAACGAGTTACGTAATTTGATTATTTGTTTGATTTTAATTTTTTAAAGTTTAATTTTGTAATTTTAATTTATTATTTTTATTAATTTTTATTAACTAGTTACGTAATTTACTTTTAATTTTTTTTAATTTTTAAATTTTTTAAATTTTTAAAATTATTATTTTTTATTTTTAAATTATATTTTTTAATTGTTGTTTACTTGTTGTTTGTTTATTTTTTAATTAGTTTAATTTTTTAAATTTTAATTTGAATTTAATTACTTTGTTTACTTGTTGTTTAATTTGTTGATATATTTATTTTCTTTGTTGTATGTTGCTTTAAATTCTCCAACACAACGCTAACGTATACTTTGTGCCCCGACTTCCATTAGCCATAGCTGTTACTCATTAGCGACAGCTGTTACTTATCGATCTACTAGTGAGGTTTTCTCGGCGCTGCCCGTTTTTTAATGGGAATGTATTGATCGACTCGCCTCGACCCCGTGTAGCCATTAACCAACAGGCGACAGCTGTGCATCAGTTGTGCAACAGCTGGTACCACACTTTCCACTAACAGTTAAACGTACAGTGTCATGGGTTTTAAGTTTCTGGTACGAGTATGTTAAACGTATACACATTCAGTGTTCAATACATATTCGATTATAGTAACATGGGTGAGGGGGGTGAGCAGGTGGGTGAATGGGGAAATACTTCAACATCTCAGTGAGGTGGGTGAGCAGATAGGTGAAGGGGAACAGGAGTAGGAGTAAAGGATATATAGTAAAAGATTCCACCACCTAAGTGAGGTGTGTGAGGAGGTGGATTTTAATTTTAATTTTAATTTTTTATTTTATTTTTTCATCATCTATTAACTTTAAGGTTCTATAACTCTATATATTTAAATACATTTTTCGGTTCATCCGAGTTTACTCCCCCTAACGTAAGTACATGTAAAGAGGGATTTCCTATAGATCTGTAATGAATTCGGCCTTTTTGACTATGACTGGTTGTCCAGGTGTTGACATGATACACTTTTTTGAGATACACGTACACACACGCACACACATACACACACACACATACACACGCAGACACACACGCGCGCGCGCGCGCGAAATTCATACTAGTTCGGTAAAGGCGCAGAGAACTTATAGGTATACATTATCATGGCGACAACAAAAGCGACCCTTATTTTATTTACATGAAAGCGTGTTTTCCAAAAAGTGTCACCATGCCGTTGGCATTTTCGCAGCGGGGTTTATTTTAAGTGCACCCCGTGCACGCTTGTTTACATTTTAAAAGACGTGTCGCGTGTCTTCCCTAATAGAGAAACGAGAGGAAAGACAACTGTTCTAAAATTAGAACAGCCTTGTTTACAGACACGAGTATCGTCCCTTGTGAAAAAAATTCTCGTCAGAATCCTTAACTAAACATTCAATTTCTTTAACAAGTTAAAATATAATTTAGGAAGACAAGGGTTATCAACATTAGACGCCACCGAGTTTGTTTTCTGTGACGACAAGGCACAATACACTTTTGTATTTTATGCCTAAGTAGAGGGGTGGGATATTTTTTCTTTGTAAGCGTGTTGTAAACAATGGGTAGAGGAGGCGATTACTAAGTAAGAGCGGAGAGAACGTGGTTTGCATCGCGATATTTGAAAACAGTGCGATGTTTAACCTCAACCAAAAAAGGCAATGAACCTAGAAGGAAGACGAATATATATCTTAGTCTTGCAGCAGATTACCTTCCCATGTTCGCTTTAGTATTACAGTTTTCATCAAACGTCTTTTTGACTTGCACTTCTTTAATTTAAGAAGGTTTACTTATACATAAGACATTACATCTAATTACAATTTTTTATTTTTACCACTCAATGTATTTTGTTTTTCTATATCTTGCATTGTCATCTTAATTTTTTATCACCTTAGTAAAAATTTGCTTAATATTATAAACTTCAAGTTTTTAAAAAACAACAACGTTATAGTACGTCGTGTCAAATGACACACCGTTTAAAATGTCTACATTTAAATTTCACCAAAATAATGACGTGTAAAAACTAAATATGGTATGACGTTAGCATACATAATATTCAATCAAATCACTCTAAAGTACAAATCAATAATTTTGATTGATTAAGGGGCTGGGTGAGTTATTTTTTTTATCACTATTCGCCCTTCCCCTTCCATTTGTCCGCAACCCCTTCCCCCTTCTCCCATCCCCTAAGCTCAATACCAACCGATAGATAAACAGTTCGTACCACTACCCACACTATACCTATTCCATTAAAGAGACAAAGGAAGTATGACAAAGTAACAAACCTACATTTATCTACATTCAACTAATGTTGCAACCCCTAGACACTACAACAGATTGGGATACATAACTTGTAGGCACCATTCCTCAATGAATACCACATGCGCCCTAGCCTATATATATATATATATATATATATATATATATATATATATATATATATATATATATATATATGTATGTATGTATGTATGTATGTTTATATATATATATATATATATATATATATATATATATATATATATATATATATATATATATATATATATATATATATATATATATATATATATATATATATATAAATATATATATATATATATATATATATATATATATATATATATATATATATATATATATATATATATATATATATATAAATATATATAAATATATAAATATATATATATATATATATATATATATATATATATATATATATATATGAGGCAGTTATTTTACTGTTTAATGTATATTTTTGTATTAAGAATAAACGGTGTTCCTGCCTGCGCAAATAAAGAACTTCTGACGGACATTACGAGAGGGGAATGGAATTTTAAAGGTTATGTCATTAGTGATCAGGGTGCTATTGAGAACATACAAGATGAACACCACTACACAAATAACACTATTGACACTGCTGCTGCTGCTGTAGGAGCTGGGTGTAACCTAGAATTATCAAACAATCTACCCAAGCCAGTTTATATGTCTATAGGTATGTCTGTTTGCTTAAATGGTTCCAATCAGCATTGACTTACACATTTTAGATAGGTTTGCTTAAAATGTTACATTTCGAACATTTTACTTTCATACCTTTGTATTTGCGCAAGCTATTTTAAAGTGTAACTAGCCATTCCGCACTGTAATGTAGTACTTAAGTAAGCGGTCGTTGTGTTTACTCTGATTCAACAACGAGGCGTTGTTGTTGTTTTTTTTAGGATTTCTTCAAAGAAGATAAAAATGTGTCTTTTTACTTTCTCGTATACGAAGTATAGAGAAAAATATTGTAATCATACCAAAAAAAAAATATTTTTTAAAAAATCTAAATTTTTCCCACGTTTTCTTTAACTTGCTTTCGTCTCTGTTTGTTTGTCTTTCCAATCAAATCTTGCGATCGAAATTTCTGGCACTTCCCAGTTAGCTAGCGCGCTGAAATTTTCAGGGAAGCTTTGTTTTGGATGACATTTGAATATTCAATTGTTATTATTACTAAATTGATCCATGGAAACATTTTATTGAGCATTTTAGACCGCTATTTAATCTATCTATATATATAATTCTCCTCTGCGAGCCATTAGAAAACAAGCTGCAAGCGCCTCCTTACAGTCCCCTCTCTTTCTCTCTATCGCTATCACTACCACCCTACCCCACCCCCATATGGTCTGGTGAGCTGTGGTCACGTTAATGTTTACAAACCGTACAGCCAGGTTTAGTGACGGCTATTAGGGGCAGATAATTTAGTTTGAACCGACTTTAAACTTACAGGAGGTAACTAAGAGGAGGCTGCTTTCACGGGGGGGGGGGTGTAGGGTCGGGGTTAGGGGAAAGAAGGGGGGTTAGTGTTTTAAAGCAAATATTTTCAGTGGCATCATTGGTACTGTCGAATTCACAAATTATGAATTACTGAAAAGTAGAAAATAAATCAACTAAATAGCGGCGTATGATACGCCGCGGGTCGGCTCGTTGTAGTAAAAACGTGGGGAAAAAGGGACATAACCCAGTAACTGTAATTTGTGTACAAACAACCGTAACAACTGGTGGCCAGTATGGGGGGAGACGATATGGTCGAGTGGTTGGGCACACGATTGCTATCCCACTCGACACGGGTTCAAATCTATGTGTTCCAGTCAGTAACGTATTCACACAACGTGTTTTTTACGGGTTGTCTTTTTACGAGTTGTCTTCGTTTACCCAAAAAAAAGTGAAAAGATAAAATCGATAGCAAGATTTTAATGCAAACAAACAGACAAAGACTAAAAAGTAGAAAATAATAATCATTAAAAAAGTTTTTAAAAACCCACGTTTTCTGATTGAACTAAAAAGTAGAAAATAAATGCTATACATCACAATAATACAAGCGATCACTCTACTATAAGCGATCAAAAACGTGGGGCGCCGAAGTAAAAGTTATATTACTATTGATTAGATAATACTATTGACTTTTATTAGGGAGCTTGTAGAGAGTCAACAGTATTAGAAACTGTAAGAAAATCACGGCGCCCCACGTTTTTGATCGCTTATAGTAGAGTGATCGCTTGCATTATTGTGATGTATAGCATTTATTTTCTACTTTTTAGTTCAATCAGAAAACGTGGGTTTTTAAAAACTTTTTTAATGATTATTTGCAAATCTCGACGTTTTACACCTCCCTGAGTCGGAAAAACATACTTTTGCAATCTTGTCTGTATGTCTGTATGTGTGTGTGTGTATGCGTGCGGTTGTGCGTGTGTGTGTGTGTGTATGCGTGCGTGTGTGTATGTGTCTGTAAACACGATAACTTGAGTACCGTTACAGTTGGGTTGATGAAATTTCATATATAAGGATTATATCAAAATCGTAGATCTGTATCAACTTTTCAGCGATTTCCAATAACCGGAAATGGATTTTTTTCTACTTTCCATTTTTCATAAACCTTATAACTTGAGTACTATTTCAAATAGATAAATGAAATTTCACATGTAAGTAAACGATCTAGTTCTCTGCCTTTATCAAATTTTGAGTAATTTCCGTTGACCGGAAGTAGTAATTTACGTTATTTCCGATTTCTAAAAAACTGCATGTGAATTTAGGCATTCACTTGGTGCGCAATTTTTTTCTCTACGAGATTATATTATATTTTAAAAGTTTAAGTAATTAAAAAGGGATTAAAATATTGTCTATATCCCGAGTTGCCATCCCCCGTAGTGTTATATAAGTATACTCGAGAAAGTTTAGGGGAGATCACTCCCGGTTTATTTTTTTTGTAGTGGAAAAAAGTTACGTTATGTTGAGTCAATATTTCATCCTAAATATCCATCTATTTCCAGACTGATTTATTAATTTGACAAATCCACGCAAAATATAATTGCAATATTTAGCTGTCTTTCACATGGGCTGACATTATATAGCGTGCGGCGTCAAAACGGCAAATGACAAAACGGCCCCGTCAAATTGACCCCGTCAAAATGGCCAGCGACATATGGGCCCCGTCATAAAGGCTCCCGATAAATAGGCTCCCGTCATTTAGGCTCCCGACAAATAGGCTCCCGTTATATAGGCTCCCGACAAAAGGGCTCCAGTAAATAAGGCTCCTGACAAATAGGCTCCCATCATTTTGGCTCCCGACATATAGGCTCACGTCATTTAGTTTTTTGCACAAAACGGCCCCCGTCATTACGACTCCCGACAAATAGGCTCCCGTCATTTAGTTTTTTCCACAAAACGGCCCCCGTCATTACGACTCCCGACAAATAGGCTAGCGTCATTTTGGCTCGCGACACAAAGGCTCCTGTCAATTTGGCTCCAGACAAAAGGACCACTGACAATACCGTTTCTGTAGAGACTAAGTCTCCCGGCAAAGCGGTCTCGTTGAATATGACACCTGCCAGTGGGACCCCATCATCAATATTCTTTAGAGTTAGCTTATCCAATACTCTTAAGTAATACAACGTATGCATCTCTTGTTCGGCAGGCGTTATTTTAATATTATTTATCTATTATAAAATATATTATGTTTTAATTTAAGGGTAATCTATCTATGACTTCCATAATTGAGTCGGTTATAGGCTGTTCCAACTCAGTGTGTGGGGACCTTCCTACGTCCAGTATGCTTATAGGTTATCAAAACAAAATGTCGTTATCCTGTAAACATCATTTTCACTTCTGTGCTCGCTTTTAAGCAACATATCTTTACTGTTGTAAACTAAACATTATCAAAATTTTAGAATTGGTAGATTTTAGCTGTTAAGGGCTTGATTTGTTTGTGAATTGATGTTGGTTCATGAAAAATAATTTCATTCAGGCATTAAAAAGAGGTTATAGTAGTAGTGGAGGTCGGACAAAATGGTTACTTTTATGCCAATAGTGGTCATGCCATTCATTTGTCTGGAGCCAATATGTCGGGAGTCATTTTGTCGGTAGTCAATATGTCGGGAGCCCATTTGTCGGGAGCCAATATGTCGGAAGCCCATTTGTCGGTAGCCCATATGTCATGAGTTCATTTTTTGGGAGCCCATTTGTTGTGAGCCCTTATGTCGGGAGCCAATATGTCGAGAGTCCATTTGTCGGGAGCCTAAATGTCGGGAGCTCCTTTGTCGGGAGCCTATATGTCGCGAGCCAATATAACGGGAGCCCATTTGACGGGAGCCAATAAGTCGGGGCCCTTTTGACAGGGCTATTTTGACTAGGTCGTTTTGTCGGGGATCGATTTGACGGGGTCATATTAACGGGGCCATTTTCACAGGGCACCATTATATAGGTATTTTACCGTGTGTACAGCACAACTTTTATAAGGGTCATCGGTAATGGGTAGTTTATGGTAGTCACTGACTAAAATGCGATCTTAAAATAAAACTCTAGATCTGATATTTATTTAGATACTAGCGTGCCCGTCCGCACGTTGCCGCGGTCTAAGAAGAAAGTATGACGTAATATGTTCGGATGGGACGTAATATGTTAAGATGGTTTCATTATTGCGTTACCAATCCTATATTTTTAGAAGTGTGACCTTGTTTTCTAAAACTGAGTTATTTAAATGTAAGCAATGCCTGCGCTATATTTTTGGGTCATGTTTTTTCGGGGTTCGGGTTTACCTACAATACCGCCTAGCACACCCGAGGGCGTGGTGTATGAAAGCCTTGAGTGTACGTTAATTACTCTCCATAATTGTGAGATAGAGCACACTTCAGTCTCCGCCAGGATGTCAGTGATGTAGCAGGGCGCTCTCGGGAGCCCCAATTACACTACCGCATGGGAGCCGCGTACGGCCCCTGGCTCGGGTTAATCATTGAATGCCGTATGCCACAGTGTCAATATTGTAGGGTGCTCCTTAAAACAAACCTAGGCGCCATAGTGCTCACGGGATAGCACAGGGCACCGGCGGACGCGCCTGATTTTATTTACTGAACGACTATAATAACACATGTTATCCATTGTCTATCGCACTTTTAAACAATTGAAGGCGCCACAGCGCTTAAGGAATAGCCCAAAGCTAAAAATCGCACCCTGTCGGGGCTCCAGAGCACTTGCCTAATTCAATTTACTGAACGACTATAAAGCCCCATTTTATACATAGTCTATTGCACCGTTCAAAACTAACGTAGGCGACATAGCGCTCACGACATATCCCGGGGCGCCAAATCGCACCCTGCCGGGGGCCGCCGACGCGGTATTAAATTTTTTTTCTTCAGAAACCTCCCCTGGAGTGTTCTAATCAACTCTCCAAAGTTTCATGACGATCGGAAGAAAGGTTTAATACTCGTTTGTGAAATGTCGTTAACCGAGCTTTGAATGTCACTTTATGTCACTCATGAGAAACCTGAGGTAGAGTAAATACAATTTCCGGAAATCGCTTAGTAATCGGAAGAAAACTACACATTTTATATAATACTTATAAAGGAAATTGCGTTAATATCTTAACCGTTACTTACGATACAGTGTTCACAGACAAACACACAAAGACAGACAAAATGGCAAAACTTAATATTTTCTACTCAGGACGATGTCACGTTGAGATTTATCAAAATTGCGATTATCAAAATCTCGATTATCAAAATCTCGATCATCAAAATCTCGATTTCAATTTCTCAAATTTAGTATTCCAAAAAGAAAAAGCAATTTAAGATAGCATGGATTTATTGTTCATTGCATTAAACATTTATAGCATATATATTTTTAAATAATTATCATTAAATTTTAAAAAATAAACCCACGTTTTCTGATTGAACTAAAATGTAGAAAATAAATGCTATAGCCTACATCACAATAATGCAAGCGATCACTCTACTATAAGCGATCGCAAACTGCGTGCGCATTATGACAAAAAATGAAAAACGTGGGCTTTCGACAGAGCCATATTCGTCTTATTGTTGCGCAAGTGCGAGTTACATCGGTGACAAACATCTAGCACAGTCTTTTGCGCAAGCTCAGGGGGAAGGTATCCCTTAGAAGCAAGCATGTGATATTTTGTCACCTGATTAGGATAGCACTGCTTATGACAAATATCACAAGTTATATTGCAAAAAGTGTTTATCGTGTCGAAAAATGTTTTCATTGCTGCCGAACGTTGGGCGTAAGCAGTGCGTCGACGTTGAATTTCTGATTCATGCCTTTCTTTGTCTTGACGAGCAGTAGCATGACGCTTTCTGTCTTTTGCTTGGCGAGAGACCCTTTCTTCTTCGGTCTCAATCGCAAGTGCAGCAGCAGTTCGTTCTTTCTGCTTAGCAAGACGAGAGATCCTTTCTTGTTATGTTTTACGAGAGACACTTTGTTCTTCTGTCTCCATCGCTAAAGCAGCAGATTTTCGGTTTCGATCTTTTTCAAGCTTCTTTTGATACTCACCTTCTTCCATAATTTTTGGTCGTTTAGGAGGATTTTCCATTCTGTATCCTGCATTGCGCTTCTCCTGATACTTCTGGCGTGCCTTTTCCAATCGACGTTTCTTCTGTGTTGCCGTTTCTTTCACCATTTTGCCCTCGCGTGCAAACCATTCGATCATCAACATTCTACTTCCGGATCAGTTAGATTTGCATAGGTTTGTACACAAACACCGCGTGACCACTACTCAGCCAATCGCGTGCTCGCTCCTTCATGTTTCATTTGTTTTTCAGTAAGCCAGAAGAGGGAAAGTACCGAACCTTGTTTTTATCAAATCACAATTACAAGGTTGTCCCTTTTTTGTACAAATCAAAAGAGTCTAAAGTGATCAATAACAATTTTCCATGGATCAATTTAGTAATAATAATAATTGAATATTGTATTGTCATCGGAAACAAAGCTTCCCTGAAAATTTCAGCGCGCTAGCTAACTGGGAAGTGCCCGAAATTTCGATCGCAAGATTTGATGGAAAGACAAACAGACGCGAAAGCAAGTTAAAGAAAACGTGGGAAAAATCAGAGCTGCCGGTTAAATGTCCGGTGATTGATACGAAAGCAGATTTGATTTGATTTTCAAAAGACTTTGAATTGTGCTGCTTTCTAGATAGGAGGCCATTTTGGTTTAGTGTTTTAAAATTTTTTTGATAAAAGCATTTTACCCAAGTGCATATGTGTATTTAACAGTTGATGCGGTCAAGGAAGGAAAGCTTAGCGAAAGCCTAGTCCGTGATACCGTCAAACCTCTTTTCTACACCAGAATGCGATTAGGAGAGTTTGACCCACCAGATAACAATCCATACGCTCAGCTAGACAGTTCCACCGCTGAGTCGACAGAACATCAGGCTCTCGCACTAGAGTCAGCCATTAAATCTCTTGTTTTGCTCAAAAACAACAATAACATTTTACCACTAAAGAAGGAAAAATATAATAATGTTGCGGTTTGTAATACGAAATTTGTTAATGCATTTAAAATGTTTTTAATAGATTACCATAGATATTTAAGTATCTTGTTAATTTTTTTAAGGTGCATAAAAATTATGTTTTTATGAATTTTTGTAAATCAAGCCTGTAGTTATATCAGTGGCGTAGTGAGGGGGGGGGGCGGGGGTGTGGACCGCACCGGGTGACACTATTTAGGGGGGGGGGGGGTGACACCAAGGCAAAAAATAGCAAAATATATAGAGAAAAACTTGAGGGGGGGTGCAAATCGAAAATTTGAGGGGGGGGGGGTACAAATCGAAAATTAAAAGTTTGTCCCTGGGAAGAGTCGCTACGCCTCTGGGGGGGGGGGGGGTGACACCATTAAGTACCGCACCGGGTGACACCCGACCTCGCTACGCCACTGAGTTATATATCTAAAAAGATAGTTGAAAGATGCTCTACGTTTATATAACACATCTTAGATCCTAGGACCAATGTCAGACAATGTTCAACAGCAGTTTGGTGATTATGCACCATTTACAGACCATAGCTTTATAAAAACACCTTTACAAGGCATACGAGAAATTTTTCCGAATGCCAAATACTCGAAAGTCTGCATGGATGGAACACGCTGCACATCCTACAAAAAAGATCTCATTCCATTGATCGTAAACAATTCTGATTTGATCATTTTTGCCCTAGGAACAGGTTCGTCTACACACACGAATCCATATTGTAAAATTGAAAAGGTGGAAGCATGTTATTTACATTTTGTATTTAACATTAATTTAACACAACGGCTTATCAAAACAATTTTAACCAAAATCAAGTAGAATAGCGATAAGCTATTTACTAGTGTAGGTTGATCGTGTTTGATGGATAATATAAATTGTATTTAGGACCCGACATTGAAAGTGAAGGTCAAGACAGAGCCGATTTAGAGCTGCCTGGGTATCAAAAAGATCTCCTAAGAGATGGATTGCTTTACAGTAAGAAATACAATTTAATAAACATTATAATAGCTATTTGTTTAGTTATTTTAAAATATTACAAGTACTTCATTTTAATTTGATTTTAATTTTTATATTGTGTTTCGTAACTTCAATAACTGCGTTTGCTCTTTGCAAAAATGCTAATGTAAAATCAGAAGCGTAGTCAGAGGTGTTGGGGTTAGCATCCCCGAATGGTTCGACAAAATGAAAACAGTTTCACGATGCTTTTATTTTGAAAATTGTGAAAGTCATAAAACCATAATTTAATCTTCTCAACGGCTGTTTGAGTATTGCTCTTGTGCATACATTTCTAGTTGCGTATTTTTTTGTTTGCATATTTTTAAGAGAACCTGCTAACATAACTTTAAGCAAAGAAATATTTTTAAAAAAGAACAGAAATTATCTTCTCTAAATCTATAATAACGAACCACTTTTGAAATAAAGCGGGAGTGAGCTCCCGTTTAAATAACAGTCAGTCATAGGATGGCACCACCAGCGCAACGAGCTATAGAAATAGAAATGTTAATGAAAAAAAAACCCTCGTTTTTTAAGAAACCTAATTCAACATTCTGAATATTTTTTAAAAATCGCAGTTGCATCAAACAAAACAAAAAAATGAAATTGTGTGTAGGTTGTTGGGTTGGTGTATTTGCAGTTTCTGTAGCTGGTTCTTTTTTTTACGGAGATCTGAAGGTTTACCAAAAAATACAGTTAGGCTGCATTCGTTCACAAACAGATCTTTAAGACAGATCCTCGAGATAAGATGGTTATACAAAATGTCCAATAAAGGCCTATGGCAACACACCAAACAACAGCCAATAGACAGGGATATTAAAGCCCGCCAATGGGGATGGATTAGGCATACCGTGAGAAGGGGAGGGGACAACATCGCGAGGAAAGGAATCCCAAGGAAAGAAGAAAACTGGGCCGCCCAAGGAAATTCTGTAGAGAACCCAAGAGGATGAAGCAAGGACTGTGGCTTACATGAGCTCAAAACCGAGTCATGTGAAGAGGTGCGGATAGAACTCTTTGCTTACTAGCGGCAACAAACTAATAAGAGAAGTGTAGGTTGTATGCTTAAGTGTAGCATCATTTTCGTAGGTTGGGGTGACTGGTTTATTTTTATGACTACGAGAAACAATGGAAGGAGGGAGGAAGTAATTTTTTTTAAAACCGTAGAATTTCTCTACAATGTTTTCAGTATTTATAATTATAATTTTCTTGAAGGAATAAATAAATTAATAAATACCAAAGTGTATGAAGTTTTACAGCGAAAATTATTAGCAAAAAATATCGCATAAATGGACAAATGGAAATTTTGTAGCAAGTTAAAGTAAAACTAGCTTATACCCGTGCTTCGCCACGGTGTGGATATGCATATTACCTCAGAGTTTACCGCGCTGCGCACCGCATTGGGCGGATATTTTTTTTAGAGAATCGCGCTCCTCGCGGGTGTAGGTATCCTCAGTTTACCGCGCTGCACGCTTCGCTACGATGGGTATATGGATATTACCTTGGGGCGGATTTTTTTAGTCGGTATTCTCAGAGTTTACCGCGATGCGCGCGATTGCGGTCCCCACATTGGGGCGGATATTCCATAAGCGCACCGCACCGACCCCTGTGGTGCGAATATGGATATTCACAAAAATTAAATGAAGGTAAAAAAAAAAAACTGAGAGCCGACGCTCTCAAGAACATCCGTCCAGACACCTCTCCTCCCCGAACCCAAGGCGTAATTTAAACCGCCGCCGAACAACACGTTTACCCGGCCGGCCGCGCCCAGGGAGAGAATTCCAAAATCTATAGCGATGACACGAGGAATGACACACTACCAACAGCGTTATATTATTAATACTAATAGTTTTGCTGTCTGTGTATCTATCTATCTATCTATCTGACAAGAACGCTCTAGAGAAAACACAAGCAAATTAAAAACATGCATAGTAATTCGAAAAACGAAGTATGACGTCCTCACATTTAGCATAGAGTAGAAAATAATCTCAAGCCGGAGAGTGCACACAGTAATATGACGTCATTGATTCTCGAGTAAACATTGAATAAAAAGGCAATTTTGTCTAATCTAAATGGTTTGCTGTGAAGAGTTTCTTGCATACAATTCTTCGGGTAGGGGCGAAGCCCCATCCCCGCTTAAGAATACTCTATAATAAAATTACCGCCTAATTAATGTGTCTAATCTAAAAAGTGGTTTTCTTGCAATTTCTTTAATGCAATTCTTCGGGTAGTGGCTAAGCGCGACACCAGTGTTTCTTTCAGACTTTTTCCTCCCCGGAGAGGGGTGGGGGTACTTGAAATTTTCGGGGGCGGGGTAGAATTTTCGGGGGAGGGGGCGGACACTGGAAAAAGTATATAATTATATTTCGTTGAATGGGACGGTAGACATGTTTTTTTTGGGGGTGGGGGGGGGGGGGGGTGGGGGGGGGGGGTTTAGTTTAGAGAAAAGAGACAGCACTATCAGCCTAGCGCCCGTTGTATCCTTCCTCAACGGGCCATTTTTCTCGTAGATAATAATAGCATTATTAAATGCACAGCGTTTGAAGATTGATGAACCCGAATAATCACAATGACCCTTTAAATTGAGATTATGATTATCATTTAATGGCCATAAAGGCGCCTGGTTCGGTACAGCTAATATGATATAAAATGATCCAATTCAGAATGTTTTTTAAGAAATCGGAAATATACTGTAGTACTTTTACCGTTTACCTGAAATCAAACGTGAAATAATATCTAGGTACAGGAGAGAATATTGATATATTAAGCAACAAGATCTACCTGTAGCGATACTTAATTAAGCTATTTATATTTTCTAAACCGAAATAGGGTAATTACTGTATTTTCAATTTTATAATTTTATATCATCGTGTCGTAAAGTCGCATATTCTAATAACTTCTCGCATATATGTGATTTTATGAAGACTAAGCTGCTTTTTCATAAATGTAACTACCTATTGCCCGATTCAAATGGAAGTGCCATCCAAAGCCTTACAGTTATATTAGAATTTACGAAAGAGTTTATAAAGAAACAATTTAAAATATTTTTTATACAAAAAATCTATTGATATTTTTGTATAGGCGGCAACTCGTCGGTGGTCATGCTGTTATTTAACGCTGGGCCACTCAATGTTTCGGCAGCTGACGACAATAACAGAATTGAGGCGATCATTGAATGTTTTTTTCCTGCCCAGGCCGCCGGCGAAGCAATCAGAAACGTCTTAACAAACGCTGGAGGCAACTCCTCGCCTGCAGGAAGACTACCACTCACATGGCCTTATTATTATGACCAGGTTGAAATCTCTTTAAAAAATTTTTACATCAGGTTTACGAGGACACTTTGGTGGTGAAACTAACATGCCACACGCTCCCGATATGCAGTGGGGGTTGGGGTAAGCTGCAGTGGCGTAGCTAGGATTTTCGGGCCCCTATGCAAAAATTATTATTGGGCCCCTAGGTTAATCTTTAAATTGTGTATTTTATACTTCCATAGTTGTGTATTTATACAGAATTATTATGTTGTACCCCATAGCGTAAAATAAGTTTGATTTTATATCACTTTTATAAAACAAACAAACAAAATAACTGTAAGCATGTAACCTTTAAGTAACCTAACACAGTAGCTTCACGAGGCGGGGGCCTCACAATTTAGGCGTGACACCATGACGAAAACTCGTAAAATTTACTGTTAAGACTATGTTTTATCCAGTTAAAATGATAAAATATTAAGGAGAGGGGGTAACACTCCACCGGAAATGCAAAATTGTTAGACGGGGTGGGGTGACACTCACTAAACGCACCGGTTGATATCGAACCTCGTGACGCCACTAACAAAATACAAATTTTAAAAAGTTGCTCATGATTTATTTAGGTTTGCTTTGTTTTCTTTCTTATCTTCTATATATATAACGAGCCGGCCCGCGGCATAACATACGCCCCTATTTAGTTGTTGTTTTTTCTACTTTTCAGTAATTCATAATTTGTGAATTCGACAGTACCAACGCTGACACTGAAAATATTTCTTTAAAACACTATAAGTAGCTCGTTAAGGACCATAACCCAACCCCCCCCCCCCCACGTTTAAAATCGTTTCAAACTAAATTATCTGCCCCTAATAGCCGTCACTAAACCCGACTCCACGAAGGTAAACATAGCGTGAACCACAGCTCACTAAGACCATGTAGGGGTGGGGATGGTAGGGAGCGCGTTTACAGCTTGTTTTCTAGCGTCTCCCAGAAGAGAATTATATATATAGATAGATTCTCTTCTGGGAGCCGTTAGAAAACAAACTGCAAGCGCCTCCTTGCAGTCTCTCTCTTTCTCTCTATCACTACCACCCCCACCCCACCCCCACATTGTCAAGGGGCCGCTCTTAGAACGAAATTTTAAAAATAATTTTATGGTAGAAAACTTTGCAGGAGTCAGAGTTTCTGTCTTCTCTGCGAGGGGAGAGGTACTGCTCCTCATATTTGTGATGTGGTAGGAAATTTCACGTTCAGTAGAGGTCGGTCTGAATTATTCTAAACGACTTACCAGTGTTTCTTGGCGATTGGATCATTTTTGTATTAATGCATAAAGGACAATGAAACAGACAAACAAAAATCTTTAACTAGCGGCATATTGATTAGAGATAAATTAGATCAACAAACAACTTGTGATTAAGGTTAAAACTAGAAAAACATTGACACATTTTCTACTTAGCTTGCTGTGAAAACACTGTCCACGGCTGTTATTTAAAAACAAAATGTCTCAATGGATGGATGGAACTTCGGTGAGGACATAGAATAGGGCTGGTAAGTAGGGCACCAACCAGTTCTACGGCTCAATAAAACCTGCATGAGCCATAGAACTGGTTGGTGACCTACTTACCAGCCCTATTGAGAGGGGAGAGGGTGCAGGTTTGTGGCGTTGAGTTAGAGAGTTTTTAGCGATGCGTATAAATTTACGGGCGCCGGATGCCAATCTCACAAAAGAGTCAATGTTGAAGTTTATTCATAGGCTAATTCTCTCAACGGCTTGCTCGACAATGCAACAATACCTATAGTGTTATTAATACCGATGGGCCTTGTACCCCCCCCCCCCCCCCCCCAGTGAGAAAGGTTTGGGGGCCTTTTTGGATTTTTAAAAAAATTACTTCTACAGTAGAAAAGAAACTGGATTTCCATTTTCTTTTTAAAATTATTTTAAAAATACAAATATTAAAATTCCAATGTAAAAAAATTTGTAAAATTAAAGAGGGAAAAGAGCCCCTATATGCCTTGCTTACGCTAGCTTTACGGTAGCTACGCCACTGGTAAGCTGAAGGTTCATCCGCCCTTAATTTATTAAAATATATTTCAATATTCATCATTCATAAGTAGGCCTATATTATCACAAGATGTCTCAAAAATTACACATATAAAAAGTTAAGTTGTAATTGAGTAAATACTGATCGTGACATTATATTTTAATTTGTCAATTACTTTTTTCACAGTTACCGCCCATGACCAACTATTCCATGGAAGGTCGCACCTACCGTTACATTAAATTTGATCCGTTGTATCCATTTGGATATGGGTTGTCTTATACAACATTCAACTATTCTAGGTTTCAATATTTACCATCAATACACGCAAATGAAACTCTTTTAGTTTGGCTTACTGTGTCTAATGTGGGAAACGTTGACTCTGATGAGGTATGTATAGAACTAAGACACACACACATAAATATAAATATTATTCTTACAGCCATACTTTGTAAATCTCTGGAAGGAGTTTGTCGATTTAAAATAGGTGGTGCCCGCCACCCTACCGATATTTTAGAATGTGCACTAGAGTAAAAAAAGGTTGGGAACCCCTGCTTTAAGGTATATTTACAATAGAAAAATGCCGCTACTATAATATTTTGTTCATTGCCCTCCTTAAACCAAGTCAATTTCGAATTTTCAAAGTAGATTTTTAAATTTTTAAAACTCTGATTGTTAAACAGACATTTTATAAACTAGTTTTTCTACTTTGGTCTTGCGATAGTGATATGGTTAGCGATAGAGTTTCAGATAGGGCCAGTGGCGGATTATGAGAGAGACGGGGAACAGTGGCGTAACTAGAAAAAAAGCCCCCCTCTCACCCTTTCCGCAACAAATTTTTTTTTGCCCTTATATAGGCCCCTATATGTATATAATATATATATATATATATATATATATATATATATATATATATATATATATATATATATATATATATATATATATTCGGACACTTTTAACTGACAGATTCGGTTCATAGTTGGTACTTGGGTCAAGACATGAAGACAATGCAACATGACATTAAATTTGACTTAATAGGTTGTCTACTTTTTTATGTATTAATTAAAATTGTGTCCAATATAGTAGGCAGTTTTACCCAACCCTTCCGCACTATTATACATGCGTCATCACATTCATTAGGTGCGCATGGTTTTTAGTCATGCAACTATTGTAAATAAAAAAACCGGGAGTGATCTCCCCTAAACTTTTTCGAATATTCTAATATATCACTACGTGGGATGGCAACTCGGAATATAGACATGGTTTTTGTTTACTTAAACTTTTAAAAATAGAATAGAATCTAGTAGAAAAAAGAATTGCGCACCAAGCGAATGCCAAATAAAGATGTGCATAATAGTGCGCAATATTATTAGTACTTTATAAATTTACATGCATTTTTTGAGAAATCGGAAATAGCGTAAATTAGTACTTTCGGTCAATGGAAATTACTCAAAATTTGACAGAAGGTAGAGAATTAGATCTTTTACTGACATGTAAAATTTCATTTATCTATCTGAAATAGTACTCAAATTATAGGCTTTTGTAAAATTCAAAGTAGAAAAAGTACTATTTCCGGTTATCGGAAATCGCTCAAAAGTTGATACGGATCTACGATTTTGATAAAATACTTATATATGGAATTTCATCAACCTAACTGTAACGGTACTCAAGTTATCGTGTTTACACACACACACACACACACAGACACACCGACAGACACACAGACATACGGACAAGATTGCAAAATTATGTTTTTCTGTATCAGTGAGGTGTAAAACGTCAAGATTTGTAAAAAAAAAAATTTGCACGATTACAAGACTTTCTCTATACTTCGTATGTAGGGCCTACGAGAAAGTAAAAATTTAAAGTACAAATTTTTCTTCCATAAAAAACGTTAATAACAAGCTTATGTAAACGCACTAAAAAGTAGGTCTCTTCCTAAATATTAGTAATGGTATCCAATTGATACTAAAGTGACCCAGACACCTCTTAACTGGTAATTGCAAAAACAATATTCACAGAGTTTTGCCTGTTTCAAAAGCTATGATTCTGGCGGCATTGTTCTTTGGTACCTCTTTTCGCGTTTCCGCAAATATAAACATCAGTTCGGGGTGGGTTGGGAGGGGTCAACTTCATTCACCACTGTCCAGAGGCGTAGCGATGGGGGGGGGGCTGGGGGGGGGACATATGCCCCCGGGCGCCGACATTAGTAGGAAAAAGTAATCGAAAGTTTGAGGGGGGGTGCAAATCAAAAGTTTGAGAGGAGGGGGGGTGCACATCGAAAGTTTGTCCCCGGGCGCCGGGAAGGGTCGCTACGCCTCTGCCACTGTCCGGTCACCTTAGGTCAATAATCCTAACCAGCGTATACCTAGGTGTGCCATTAATGTCGCTCTACACAATTAAAGCGTGTCCCGCTTTAGGTGTTAAGGTTGCGAGGGGGGGATAACTAACTCAGAGTGAACATAGCGTCAGTTTTTAGATGCCTGTTCTAAACATACATACAGACCATTATTATATACACCCACTTCAAGATGTTGGATAATTGTGAAATAACATGTATGAAATGTTTTTTGTAGGTGGTTCAATGCTATATAAGTTGGGGAGATAAAACACTACCAGTGCCAGTACGACAGCTGGTGTTCTTTGACAGAGTTCATATTAAAGCTGGTCAGTCGATGGATATGGACATCGCAATTCTAGGGGAGACTATGGCATTCTGGGACAATGGCCATTGGGTTATTAAAGAAGGTTAAAGTCACATTTGAAAGCTATTAGTTTATCATTTTCTACATTTTTGTATGAAAATGCTTCTCATTTTAAAAAAAAAACATGACTCTGTAAACAACATAGGCTTTCAAAAATTGTTTTTGAAATTACCCTATATATTATAACCTCAATAATTATACCAACCTTGACACTATAACTAATTTATCATTAGCTTTTTAAATATTTATTTCATCATTAGATAGTATAATACCTTCTTTTTTCAGTTATATTACTCAACCACCGATTAAAACAGAATTTTGGTATTTATAATGCTCAATGTAGGATAAACGCGTAAAAGAAAGTTTTTATAATTATGTGCTGGGAATGTCGAGATATTTTGAGTCCTTTTTACTTGACCGTATACGTGAAAATATCAGTAACGTGACTGATCCCTTTGCGATGCATATTTCTGAACCAAAATAAGTTAATATAAGAGAGAGAAAAAATAGAAACATGCGCTCTAAATTAATGCGCGGAAAATTGGAGAACTGCCAAGAAAGTGTCAAGACTAACTAAATATTGGCATAAGAACATAGAAAATATCCTAAGCTGTGATTAATTATGAAAACATTAATATGCCTATTACTGCATAGTTCCCGGCCGTCCATTTTAGGGTAGCTTTTAAAACGAAAGTAGGCGCCATAGTGCTTACGTGGGATCTCGAGGCGCACCGGGTCACCCGACATCCGGAGCGACGGTGGACGTGCCTGCTTTGTTTTATTCAACGATTGTAGTTTAAAACAACAATAGTGCTCACGTGGGGGAGCATCGACCCATGCGATTGGTTCGTAGAACGCATACTATATTTATCGATAATACACAATTATCGATATTGCTATTTCACAAAATGAAATATGCGGTTGCGTCTATTCTAAAAGTATTAAAAAGCGTAAGTTTGTTTAGAAATTGTTCAACGGAGACTTTGTTGTTTCAGGACTGATGACTTTATACTGTGGAGGACAGCAACCGTTTCAGAAAAAATCTGCACCATCCAATATACTTTCTGGTCAATTTATTATAAAAAATACTCTAATAGCAAAGGTATTATAACTTGCCTCCAATGTGAACAGATAGACTGTAACCTTGATTGTGTTGTAAACATTAAAAATAAAACACAAACTGTTTTAACTATTTTTAAAATATAAAATATCTTTTATTAGAATTAACTCTGACCTAGTTGAATCACGCAATAATTTTTACTATTTCATAAGGAAGTGTAATCGGGCAAAAATCGCATTACAGCTTCATGAGTCGAAAAAAAACGGTTTTGTAATCTTGTCTGTGTTTGTCAAAAAAAATAATTGAAAAATGAATAATCAGCTATTTACTGACAAATGAATTTGTAATCGTTCCATTTTCTTATAAAAATAGTCTTAAATATCAAATATACTTTTCTAAGGTTTAAATTTACATCCATTTTTATTACAAATATTCAAACAAAGGGGTCATCCATAAATGACGTCACGCTTTTTTGACAATTTTTACCTCCGCCCTCCCCTCCGTCACTCATCGTCACAAAAAGTCAGACCTCCCTAAAGTTACGTCACACCTCAGCCTACAACCCCCCCCCCCCCCCCCTCAAAATTGCAGTTGAATTTTTCTTTAAAAATCTATATTTTTACAAGCTTTTATTTAACTCACTTCCTCTGTCTACAGGCACTTCTAACTGACAGATACGGATCGTAATTGGTACGTGGGTCAAGAAATGAAGACAATGCATCGTGACATTCACTTTGACTTAATTGGTCGCCTGATTATCTTTTATCAATTAATTAAAATTTGGACCGAATTAGTAGGCAGTTCTATCCACGCGCCTCATCACGGCCGTCTTGGGCGTGGAGCGAGGGGGGGGGGGGGGGGGGGCTCTACGACAAAAGCGCGTCATCACGTTCAATAGGCGCGCAAAGGTTTTAGTCGGGTCAGCAGTCTAGTTCTTTACCACTAGACTACGCTATCCCATAATACTTTACTGAAACCTAAGCTATAAATTTGACCACATACTGAACAGTATTAATGTCATCGGTTAAAGAAGTGTTAAAGATTTCTGTTCTATTATAATGTGTTCAGCTAATTGTGACAATTTTCGGATTGTAACTAAAACATTAGTAAATGTGACACGTATAGTAAAACTAATCATAATAATAAAGCAAAACTGTTTTTCAAATTGTGTATCATATATTTCTTGCTACACTATATTGTCTTAACATGCGTTTAACTCGTTAATACAAAAAAGTATAAAAATAATAAATACATAAAAACGTTTATAATTACAAGCTTTTATAAATGCACTAAAAAGAAAAAAATAAAACATTTTTTTATTAAATATAAAATAATTTTTAAAAATATAATAAATCTGCGGTTACTTTAAGTATTTAAAAAATTACTTTCTTTAAATATATTAATGCACTACTATTTATATCACTATAAATAAAAGCGTGGACCGCTATAATAAGTATTTAAACAAATATAAATATATAAATAGTAGTGCATTAATATATTTAAAGAAAGTATTTTTTTTATATTTAAAGTAACCGCAGATTTATTATATTTTTTTAAATTATTTTATATTTAATAAAAATTGTATAATTTTCTTCGTTTCCGTGCATTTATAAAAGCTTGTAATTATAAACGTTTTTATGTATTTATTATTCCAAAATCTTGTCTGAACTCTGTCAACAAAAACTACTTTAATCAATTCTTATTACAATTTATTAAAAATCGTTTTCTAAAACGCGAAATAACAGCTAGAACTCGTTTTCTAACATTGCTTGTTTATAATGCAAAAGTGTGACGTCACACCATCCGAACCCCTCCCTTCCCTCTCATCTCACACCGTCACAAAATTACCGACCCCCCCCCCCCTTCGAGTGTGACGTAATTTATGGACGACCACAAATTAGTAATGTAATCCACCTCTTTTACTATAAATAAACCGGTAGTGATCTCCCCTAAACTTTCTCGAATATTCTTATATAAAACAACAGGGGATGGTAACTGGGGATATAGTTATGATTTTTAATCCATTTTAAATACTTAAACTTTTAAAAATAGAATAGAATCTCATAAAAAAAACATTGCGCACCAAGCAAACGCCGAATAAAAACGCGTATAATAGTGCGCAATATTATTAGTACTTTAAAAATTTACATTAGTTTTTTGAGAAATCGGAAGTAGCGTAAATTACTACTTCCAGTCAACGGAAATTACTCAAAATTTAACAGAAGGTAGAGAATTAGATCTTTTACTTACATGTGAAATTTCATTTATCTATCTGAAATAGTACTCAAGTTATAGGCTTTTGAAAAATTCAAAGTAGGAAAAGTACCACTTCCGGTTATCGGAAATCGCTCAAAAGTTGATACGGATCTACGATTTTGATAAAATACTTATATATGAAATTTCATCCACCTAGCTGTAACGGTACTCAAGTTATCGTGTTTACACACGGACAGACAGACAGACAGACAGACACACACACACACAGACATACGGACAAGATTGCAAAATTATGTTTTTCCGTATCAGTGAGGTGTAAAACGTCGAGATTTGTAAAAATCTCGATTTTTTTTTTTGCACGATTACAATACTTTCTCTATACTACGTATATACGAGAAAGTAAAAAAAGTATATATTTTAAAAATGTACACACTAATTAGTAATGTGAGTCTTTTACTAAATATTAGTAAAGGTATCCAATAGATAATATAGTGACCTACGCTTTTCTTTAGTTATTTAAATAGTATATTATTATATATTTAAAGATAATCATTTATTTTCTTCGTATTAGTGCATTATTAAATAAAAGCTTGATATTAAAACGTTTTTATGCATTTTCTTAGACGAGAGTGAAATCGGGATATAGACATGTTTTAAATACTTATATTTGTTTTTAAAAAATTGAATAGAATCGAGAAGAAAAAAGAACTGCGTGATAAATGAACAGCAGACAGTGTGTATATAATAGTGCGGAACAATAGTACTTTATAAACAAAACCTTGATTAATTTTCAACATTGACATTTATGTCCTCGAGTCTTGACCGACGTAAAAAGTTTGAAATAAATTGGTTCGGTAGAAGTGTTTGAAATTTTGCTCGCAAGTTTCAGACCCATAACGGACGATAGACAGAGGAATCGAGCTAAAAATAAATTCCGATGCGCTTTTTTTGTGTGTATTGAGAAATCGGAAATAGCGTAAAGCACTAATTCCGGTCATCGGAAATCAATCAAAATTTAAAAGAAATAAAACAGAGAATTAGATTTTATTCTTATATTCAATATTTCCTCCAGCTAGCTCAAACTAAAATTAAACTGTCACTTGACCCATTTTTTTTCTACCGTCGTCATGGTAATGATGGCCGCTGAAAACATAGATAATGGGGTTCTATTTTTAACGACGTTTCATGGCCATTTCAACAACATATACTTGTAATCGTTATTTTTGTGTTTTATTCAACGAGACCGATCTTGTTTTAAAAATGGACGATAAGTGTTTGATGTAAAATTGCCTTTTGTATATTTTTATTTGGTTAATAATTGAGAATATCGAGCTGAACATAAGGTTAGAAAAACGTTTTAATTTTTAATACTATTAGTATTGTGAAAACACTCAAACTTTTATAAAATAAAGAACATTATATATTACGTCTTACTAAACTAATGTTATTAATTGAAATTATTCTGCAGGGTAAAAAAAATACATAAAAAATATAACTTGATCTAGACAACAGCCAACTAAGCCTGCCCATTTTGCCCGCCGTGTATTTGAATGGGAAGAAATCTAGATCTAGCACATTTCTGCTGAACAGTCAAACGAGTCACAACACTGACAAAACAGCACTCCTAAAAAAATTCATAAAAATTTAAATAGTAGTGTATAATTTATTTTCTACTTTTTAGTGCATTAGTACATAAAAGCTTGTTATTAAAACGTTTTTTATGAATTTTTTTTTCAGTACTTTACATGTTTTATTTACAATAGTGTTATATAACTAAAAACCATTGCGCGTCTATTGAACGTGATGGCGCAGCCATTGAACGTGATGGCGCAGCTATTGAACGTGATGACGCGTGGGGTGTGGTTGGATAGACATGCCTACTAATTCGGTCCAAATTTTAATTAATTCATAAAAAATTAATTAGGCAACCAATTAAGTCAAATTTAGTTTCAGATTGCATTGTCTTCATGTCTTGACCCACGTGCCAACTGTGAATCGTATCGGTCAAGTAGAAGTGTCCGAATTTTCACACCAGCGTTTCGATCTAGACAGACTGACGACTGACGACAGAGGAAGCAAGTTAAATAAAAGCTTGTAAAAATTAACCTATCGTTGCTATTTAAAAACAAACGCGTGTTTGTTTTTTTTTTTTTAAAACTCATTTTTTTCTCTGGTGATTGAGAAATCGAAAGTTGAACAAGTGTCACTTCTGGTTACCAGAAATCGCCGAAAAGTTTATACAAAACTACAAATCCTAATATATAAAAGCCCATGTGCGCACTTCTGTCTGTCTATCTGTCTCTCTCTCGCTCTCTCTATGCCCGCAGCATATTTCCCAAGGCTATGAGAGCAGTATCTTCAGCGATTTATGGAGAATTTAAGATACGGACTATTGTTGAAAATAATATGTATTAAACATACAAACTAAATTTTAATTAAAGAAGGAAATTGTAACTCCGCCCATGACAGACAGACACACGGATAAAATTGCGAATCTATTTTTTTTTCACTCAAGAAGGTGTAAAACTGTGCGGCGTCAAAACGGACAATGACAAAACGGCCCCGTCAAAACGACCCCGACAAAACGGCCCCGTCAAAACGACCCCGTCAAATCGGCCCCGTCAAAAGGGCCAGCGACATATGGACCCCGTCATATAGGCTCCCGACAAATAGGCTCCTGTCATTTATGCTACCGACATATAGGCTCCCGTCATTTAGTTTTTTTTTCCACAAAACGGCCCCCGTCATTACGACTCCCGACAAATAGGCTCTCGCCATTTAGTTTTTCCACAAAACGGCCCCCGTCATTACGACTCACGACAAATAGGCTAGCGTCATTTTGGCTCACGACAAAAAGGCTGCTGTCAATTAGGCTCCAGACAAAAGGACCACTGACACAGTGGCGTAGCTACCGTCAAGCTAGCGTAAGCAAGGCATATGGGCCCAAGGCACATAGGGGCCCTTTTCACTCATAAAAAATAAAACTTTTACAATGGAATTTTAATATTTGTTACATATAAAAAATTAAAAAAAAGAAAAATGTTAACAGTTCCAAAAAGCCCCCCCCCCACCCCCCCCCCCCCGCCTCCACCGTTTCGGCAGTGGGATTCAGTCTGTGTGCGTGGGGGTCAAACAGAGCCCAATCGTTATAATAACACCACAGGCGATATCACTTTGTCGTGCAAGACATTGAGAGAATCAGCCTATAAATAAACTTTTTAGCAGTAGTAGGCAAACATAATAATATAGTATGAAGACATAATCAGGACATATAAAATACAAAATGTTGCCTTCAGAATATCTATAATATAAGCGGGCTGAGCGTGTGTCAGTCTGTCATCGCTATAGATTTTGAAACCATTAAAGTAAACATCACACCATGCTGTGCTTTTCAGTGCACCGCAGTGTCTTATTATAAGTAATAGAGTAGGGTTTGTTTATATAACGGCATAGAGCTATTTTATAATTTCCACTGTTTGTACGATTTTGCATCACGTAAAGAGAATATTAAATACACGCACATTGCTAAAACATATTAAAAGGATCAATGTCAAATATCGTTTTCGTTAATATTCCCAGAAAGAGTGGATACATATTAATAACATAATAACATAATACGGTAGAAAA